AGAGACTTTGAAAGCAAAAAAAATAAATTACAATGCATGTGCAAAACCACATATATACACAAACACACATATACACAAATATGTGCACACACAAACCACATATACACAGACTGGGCCACAGCAACGCGTGGCAAGGGACAGCTAGTTTACAATAGTTTCCTCTTTTCTCAGAATTCATTCCAGAAATTTTATTATCTTATTTTGTTATATAAATATTAAATGGTTTTGTCATTGTGTGTCTTCAAGTCATTTCTAACTTATGGCTTTAAGGAAAGTGTAAGAGTAGGAGGTGGCTGTTTGTTTTGTGCCCCATTTGTGAGTTTCTGTCACAGTGAAACATAATCAGCTGGATTAGATGGACACCTGACTCATCTTTTCCTTAGAAGCTCCTGTTCGAAATGTATTGTAATGATGTGTCTTTAAAAACACCAAATAAATATAAAATCTTTCTGGTGTTTTTTTGAATGTGCATACCGAGGAAGTTATGTTGGGTTATGCTGCATTGTTATGTATAATATATTTTCTTTTAAAAATTCATCCGCCTCTGTGCTCTTGTTATATGCAGCCAATTTAATTTAGCAACAGCAGAGGTATCTGCTGGATTTTGGAATTAGTTTTATTGCCTGTCTAGTTTTCTCCACTGCTGCTACTTCATCTACAATTGACATTTTACTAGTGGGAGGCTAATTGCTTATCTAAAAGGAAATAAACCATAGATCATGCACTGGTAACAAATTGATATTTAAGCATATGTTAGGCATTCCATTCCTCTGCTCATTTGAAGGACATTGTGATTTATCTCATCTGCTTTTGCAGAAGGGTTTAATTCACCTTCCCCCATCGAGATAAACTTAATCAGTATGTTGATAATGTTGCAAATATTAGAATCACATCCCTATTATGAAAGCTAGGATCCTGTCATAACAGAATTGCAAAATGCAAAATAACTTTCAGATGATGGTTGTGAAAATATACAAGCTTCCCAGCCAGGTGACTTCAAACAAAAATGAAACATTACTGGAAGTCTTTTCAAAAAGCAAGCATTTTTGGCATGCTAAAATCCCAGTGCGGTCTCTGGCAAGCTATATCCACAGATTATTGTATTCATTAAAAATATTTACATGTGATACTACTTTTCCAGGCAAAGCCCTCCAAGTCCGTTTGTTGAAAAAAAAATTAATATAGCAATGAAAAATATAATTAATGAAAATGCCACCTAAAACAACCACACTATAAAAAGTATTAAAAAACAAACAACAATTAAAAACAGTCTTCAGTAATTGGGCCGGAATGTCAGTTGCCATTAGTTCCTCATTTCCTGCTGCTTTCTACATTTTTAGAGAGCTATGTTTTCTCATGATATGTCCAAAGTAGAACAATCTCTAGGACAAAAGTGGTGAACATATGCCACACGTGTCAGAAGAGGCACACAGTGCCCTCTCCTAGCATGTGCATTGTCGCCAGCTCGATCACTTGCCTACCTGCTTGCCCCCCCCCAGCTCACTTGCCGATCACTGCCCCTGCTTTACCCCCCCCCCCCAGTTTGAGCACTGTGTCTCTAAAAGCTTTGCCATCACTGCTCCAGATCCAAAAAAGATGCACTCAGCCCGAAATACAGATCCAGAACCATGGGCAGCTATTTTAAAAAAACTGTACCAACATCCAGAGTAGATTGACTGTTCCATTGACAAAGTTCTCCTTGATTTGTGGGAGGGAACATCTAATAAATAAATAAATATTTCTATCCCATTTTTCTCCCTAACAGGACCCAAAGTGGCTCACAATACAATACAATACAAATCATAGCACATTTAACATAAAATACTAGACAGAAATCACACAAAGCATAAGAACACCCAGAAATAAGATATAAATAAATATTAAGCATTCAATACATTTCAAACTAATTCCAATTATTGTGAAAATTCATCAATTAAATAGTATATTTCTCTAAGCGCAGTGCAAATCGACTTTGCTGTCATTCTAGTCAAGGCCATTAGTGATGTCATCAGTTATAAACACGAGCCAATGAGAAAATTAAGTCTCCATTAATAAAAAAAATCTCAGAAAAACAAAACAAAAGTTCCCACTAAAGCCCAGCAGAAACAGAGTTGAAAGAAGAGTTTCAGCGAAGAAGCCAGCGGCGCCAAGCCCAGTTGCAAGTCTAAGTTGATGATCAAAAGGGGGGAGGGGGTGGTAAAATTCCTTAGTACTGTCATCCTATAAGACAGCGTTTCTCAACCTGGGAGCAGGGACCCCCAGGGGGGTCAAGAAGGGGTGTCAGGGTTCGCCAAAGACTAGATCTATCATTACTTGAGTCCACAATGCTCTCTGGATGTAGGTGAACTACAACTCCAAAACTCAAGGTCAAACCCACTAAACCTTTCCAGTATTTTCTGTTGGTCATGGGAGTTCGGGGCCAGATTTGGTTCAGCTCCATTGTTGGTGAAGTTCAGAATGCTCTTAGATTGTAGGTGAACTATAAATCCCAGCAACTAGAACTCCCAAATGACAAAATCAATCCCCCCCTCCAACCTCACCAGTATTCAGATTTGGGCGTATCAAGTAGTAGTGCCAAATTTGGTCCAATGAATGAAAATAAATCCTGCCTATCAGATATTTACATTACGATACATAACAGTAGCAACATAAATAATTTTATGTTTGGAGGTCACCACAAGTGAGGAACTGTATTAAGGGGTCACGGCATTAGGAAGGTTGAGAAACACTGCTATAAGGTATCAATGACTTGAAGTAACTTCGGTCTATGGTTAGCTAGCAGCGAGGTCACGGTGCAGTAGTGCGCAATGGCAGTGATAGTAGAGCGGCTATGCCACACAGACCTCTCCAGGTCAATGCTGGGCAGTGGGAGAGAAGTCTGATATGATTTTTCTTTTTGTCATGTCAGGAGCGACTTGAGAAACTGCAAGTCATTTCTGGTGTGAGAGAATTGGCTGTCTGCAAGGATGTTGCCCAGGGGACGCCCAGATGATTTGATGTTTTTATCATCCTTGTGGGAGGCTTCTCTCATGTCCCCGCATGAGGAGCTGGAGTCGATAGAGGGAGCTCATCCACCTCTCCCCGGATTCGAACCTGCGACCTGTCGCTCTTCAGTCCTGCTGGCACAGGGGTTTAACCCACTGCGCCACTGGGGGCTCTGTCTAATATGATGCTTCCTATTTATTATGATTGACACAGTACCTTTACAGTATTGAACAGTATCTCACATCTGTGGGGGATGCATTCCCTGACCTTATGTAGATGTTCAAAACCTCTGGACCAATAATATAGATTGTATTGGATGACAGAGGGTGCATCTTCTCTGTAGAAATAATACAGTCTTTAAAATCTCCGTATTTTGCACGTTGTTTTGGTTCTGTTTTCCAGTTTTCCCCGTTTTATTAATTGCTGTAAATTTCTGTATATATCATGAAATTGTTGATAGCTTTTTCTTTTTATCTCCAGGTATTTGAGGGCATGTTTTGTTGTTTTAGAGTGAGGCATTCAATCAGCATACAGTGACCCTGCCAAGAAGGTCTTCAACATTTAAAATGTGTTTAGCCAAATGCTTATTGTGTGAGTATCCATTGAGGGGATGTCCTGGCTCTTTGCAAATTGGGGGTCGCTTTTTCCATTTCATGGATAGCCTCTTAAAAGTAATGGGGCAGATTTCCTCTTGATCACATCTGTTGATAAAAACACTGTTATTTTGGTGTTAGAATAAAAATTCTGATGTAGCAAAACCATCTTGAGTGCCGCCGTGCTCAGTTGTGTCTGCCTTTTGTTAGCAACTGTGACATATTCCTAGTGACCTATGAAGTTTTGCTCTGCGGTCAATCCCAGAGGCATTTCCTTTGAATTAGTTCATAGAACATCATGCCTGTAAAAAGGACAATTTTATGCTACAGCCTGGGAGGAGGGGTGTTTTTAGGGCAGAAAAATACAGGCCTTTCTTTTCTTTTTGCAATAATTATGTAGCATTGTGCTTTCATTGTATTAGATGTTCCGGCCGTTCTGCTCTGCTCCTCTTGATGTTAGCACACCACATCAAGAGCTGGTTTTCTTGGACAGCTGGTTTATCTGTAATAGCTTTAGAAAGTTTTAAAATGCCAAAATGAGCCAATGGCACTTTGAGTTGAAGTTCAGTCTCGCTTAGGATTATTTAGCATATATCTATAGATGCCGGGCTTTCATGATATTCATATCATGCATGAGAGTGGCATATTGAAAATGTGGCCCCTCACATAAGCTGTGGTTGATTTTCATTACAGTTTGGAGAATAAGTCCTCTGAGTTTGTAAAATAAATTGGAAAAAAATGAGGCCCTTGCCATTCATATATTTTCTCTGTAAAAGTGTATACCTAAATTAAGAGTACATTCTGTACCATAAACTGGAAATGCATACCGTATATTCAGGTGTATAAGACTGCTTTTTAACCCAAGGAAATCTTCTCAAAACTCAGGAGTCATCTTATACACTGGGGTAGTCTTATACGCAGGGATAGTCTTATACGCTGGGAGTCGTCTTATAGAGCGGGTGCTGAAACTTCCAATCCGGATTGGGGAATCTGTGGTTGCTGCATCTTGTGGGGAGAGCTCAAAAATGGTAGTGGCCACATCCCTGCCATATGCAGCGACTGTATGAGAGCATTAAGGGTGACACTGTACAAATATAGTAGAAGAAAATCCATTCATCAGGATTTGTGGATTTAATGCGGTCCTGATGGTGAGGTGAAGGGGCGCCTCACCGGGAATGTGTAAGTGAAGGGCGGAGCAAGCTGCAGGCGCCCGGGGTGCCCAGGATACGGAATAAAGAGATAGAGTGGCTCTGGGCCCAGAAAAACACAACTCTTTTACCTGTCTGGCCCGCCCTTGTATCCTATTACCGTACCTCCTCCTCTGCCTCTCAGATCTCGCTCCTGAAGCGTGCAGTGAAGTGGTGCAGGTGCACATGTTCAAGATTTGAGAGGCAGAGGAGGTACAGTAATAGGAAAATTACCATATTGAAATCAAATCTGATGCTTTTAAAAATTTTATTTGCGCAGGGGCCATGCTAGTCTTCTCTGTATCGTTCCAATTTTAGTATATGTGCTGCCGAAGCGAGCACAAATTTTTTTATTTGGTGTGTGTTGGAAGAGGGGTAGTTGGACAAGGGATTACACCATGCTTTAACTACATGTTTGGTAGGGATGAAATTCTTGTCTTCAATGAGAGAGGATGCTTTGACATGTCGGAGTAATCCATCAAGTCATTGTCAGCTACCATCATATTATTTTCACCTGTAAAAATGAAAAAAATGGGTGCACTAGATCTTTCTGTGAAACTTTGTGGTATATTTTGGCAGAAGTCATTCATTTCAATGGGGTTCATTAGTGCTAATGGTTTTCTGTTTCCTTGGTTAAGTTCAGCGGTTTAAACCCCATGGAGACACAGGGGGAGGGCACTGGTTTTTACTGTGTAAAGGTAGTGAACAGTGCAATTGATGGGCATATGCCAACTCTAATATTCTCTATAGCTTGAGTGTCATCTGTTGTTTTCTGTCATTCTCTATCTCCTTCTGATTGTCCTGATATTTTGGGCAATACTGTACTCCTTAAAGCTCATGCCATTGTATTCCTTTTTCAAGTTTTTGTTGAAATCCTCTGAAAATAGCAGACGATATCCTCATGCCAATGATCTCTTTGTGACACATATATGTGTCGTTGTGTGTTAAATTTAAACTGTCAGCAAAGCGAAATTCATAAATCCTTTATAGAAAATTAGTATCAAAAATGTGAAGGGGGGATGAGGAAAATGGAAGAATAGCGATATACTTTAGTTGGAGCTCAAAACTCAACACACACATTTCCTGATGTCAGTCTTGCAGAGCATCATGTTCAAATACATGGGAATGGCATGCTGTTGCTGATAATAAATGGAAAAAACTCATTTGAAGATCTCATTTTGTAAAAATGACTAAAATACTTGTTTTAAACATTTTACAAAAAAGAAATTTAAAATCCACAATAGATGGAATTCCATTGATGGAAGGGGAAAAATGAGAATTATGCACACATTTATCTCAATTCAGATTTGGAATTCAGCAAAACAGAATTTTGTACATTAAATATATACATTGAACAGTGTTTATATGGCATAATGAAAACTAGTTTTGTAGTTTGTGATGAGGATAGCAGTTTTTCAGCCACCGCCTGGAATCTTACTTGGTAATCTCTCTGACTGATGAGAGTTCAGGAGCTATTTGTGTTATCAAAATATTTCAAATCTATCTTATTGCACGTAAATGTCAGGAATATGTATTGTTAAAGGCTTTCATGGCTGGAATCACTGGGTTATTCTATGTTTTTTGGGCTATATGGCCATGTCCTAGAGGCATTCTCTCCTGACGTTTCACCTGCATCTATGGCAATCATCCTCAGAGGTTGTGAGGTCTGTTGGAACTAGGAAAATTGGGTTTATATATCTGTGGAATGTCCAGGGCAGGAGAAAGGTCTCTTGTGTATTGGAGCTAGGTGTGAATGTTTCAATTGGCCACCTTGATTAGCATTTGATGGCCTGGCAGTTTTTTTGGTGTGGCTTGTTAGTGCTGGGGGAATCTTTTGTTAAGAGGTGATTAGCTGTCCCTGATTGTTTCCTCTCAGGAGTTTCCCTGTGTTTGAGTGTTTTACTGTTGCTATTTTAGAAGTTTTTTTTAATACTAGTAGCCAGACTTTGTTCATTTTCATAGTTTCTTCCTTTCTGTTGAAATTGTCCACATGCTTATGGATTTCAATGGTGGTTGTGAGAGTGGTCCAGCATTTCTGTGTTCTCAAATAATACGCTGTGTCCAGGTTGGTTCATCAGGTGCTCTGCTATGGCTGACTTCTCTGGTTGAAGTAGTCTGCAGTGCCTTTCATGTTCCTTGATTCGTGTTTGGGCAATGCTGCGTTTGGTGGTCCCTATGTAGACTTGTCCACAGCTGCATGGTATACGGTAGACTCCTGCAGAAGTGAGAGGATCCCTCTTGTCCTTTGCTGAACGTAGCATTTGTTGGATTTTCTTGGTGGGTCTGTAGATTGTGGATATTTATTTTATTTATTTACTTTGCTTATAGACCGCTGTTCTCAGCCCGGGGGCGACTCACAGCGGTGTACAACATAGAAAGAACAAGGTTCAAAATTCAAGACACAATCTAAAATATCAATCTAGCAATAACCAAAAATATCATCATCAAAAACATCAATAATACAAGAAGCCATTCATGTCGTCTCATCGTCCAAACCACAATCCAGTATCATTTTCCGTTGTTCCATTCCTATAGTCATTACCAATCATTGTACTTCTTGTTCGAACGCCTTCTTGAACAACCAAGTCTTTAATTTCCTGCGGAATATCATCAGGGAAGGAGCCAGTCTGATGTCCACGGGAAGGGTGTTCCACAGCCGAGGAGCCACCACCGAGAAGGCCCTATCTCTCGTCCCCGCCAGCCGTGCCTGTGAAGCAGGCGGGATCGAGAGCAGGGCCTCCCCAGAAGATCTCAAAGTCCTGGTGGGCTCGTAGGTCGAGATGCGGTCGGATAGGTATCTTGGGCCGGAACCGTTTAGGGCTTTATAGGCCAACGCCAGCACCTTGAATTGAGCCCGGTAGCAAATCGGCAGCCAATGGAGCTGGTACAACAAGGGGGTTGTATGCTCCCTGCGTCCCGCTCCTGTTAGTATCATGGCTGCCGCACGTTGGACCAATTGAAGCTTCCGGGCCGTCTTCAAAGGCAACCCCACGTAGAGCGTTGCAGTAGTCTAAACGGGATGTAACCAGAGCGTGGACTACCGTGGCCAAGTCAGACTTCCCAAGGTACAGGTGCAGCTGGCGCACAAGCTTAAGCTGTGCAAATGCTCCCCTGGTCACCGCCGAGACCTGGGGCTCCAGGCTCAGCGATGAGTCACCTTCAATCCAGAGGGACCGCCATCCTGGTTACACCAATTTACCATATTTACATAGTTTGTAGTAGTTTGTAAAAATCAGGAACTTTTCAAAAACAAGAAAGTAGAGATTGCCTAGCAGCTGACTCCTGTGTGTACTGCCATATTATGTAGGGATTTTAAATAAAGCCACATTGTAAAAATACTTTTTTGAATGTCACTACAGTAGAGTCTCGCGTATCCAACCTTTGCTCATCCAACATTCTGTATTATCCAACGCATTCGTAAATAAATACTACATACCATTATTGCATATTGAACTGCTTTTTCCGTCGATTTGTTATAAAATATGATGCTTTGGTGCTTAATTTGTAAAATCATAATGTAATTTGACGATTAATAGGCTTTGCCTTAATCCGTACTTATTATCCAACATTTTCACTTATCGTATTGTTAAAGGCTTTCATGGCTGGAATCAGTGGGTTGTTGTAGGTTTTTCGGGCTGTATGGCCATGCCTGCCATAGATGCAGACGAAACGTCAGGAGAGAACATGGCCATACAGTCCAAAAAACCTTTTCACTTATCCAATGTTCTGCCGACCTGTGTATGTTGGATAAGTGAGACTACTGTATTGAGAACCAGCATGGTATCATAGTTTAATGACTAGCTTTTCATCAATTTGTCCTTGACCATTGTACATTATAGTACAAACTCTCTCTCTGTGTGTGTGTGTGTGTGTGTGTGAGAGAGAGAGAGAGAGAGAGATCCTCCCTCTTGACCTTAGTCTGCTTTTTTTTCTTTTGCAATCAGCTTGGCACTGTTTATTTTCCCCCTCTTAGTTGACTCTGCATGCTGTTTTTCTTTTCTCTCAGTCAACTCATCTTCATCTTGTTTCAGTCTTGCATTGAAAAGATTCCCCTTTTCAATAATTCTCACTTTAAAAATTATTAGAAACTTTCTGATGCATTAAATGATGAAAAACTATAAAGACAAAAAAGAATGAAAAGAAAAAAGCATCACAGAAAAGAAAAGTTTCATTGACTTCCGACTTTCTTAGCAATGGTTATACATCTTCCTATATAAAGTTACTTTTTATCTGAATTACTATTCATATGCTTCTCCTGTAACCAAACCTATTAATTATTAAAATCTACAGCTAACATATTATTCTCATTTCTCTGCGAAAAGAGAATATCTACTTTGACAAACGATCAATCATGATAAAAAGAAAAAAGAACAATTCAGCTAGTAAATTCTTCCTTATTATTCCTTTTAATAAGACAACCTTTCTATTTTTATAGTAATACCTCCTTCTCTCCCAACTGTATCACATTTCAAACGTTCTTTCTTCTAAATATCTACATCTCCAACCTAAATATCCACTAATTTAATGCATGAAACCCAGTAATCTCCATATGTCATTATACATGTGTGTATATTAGATTTACTATATCCCTCACATGTATATATTGTAAAACATATACAGCAGATAACTATATGGATATATTTCATACACACACACACATCCTAAGGCAATAGAATAACATGAACATATTCCTTTACACTCGTAACTTATAAACATTTATATTTAACAAGGGGTTCTATACCAGATCTCAAGTATTGTAAAAATCGGACACACACATGCACACTCACACATCCTGTAATGAATACGTTGTTCCATGCACATAGTTCATTTTGTTCATTTTGAGCAAGATTGGTCTCCTCCACTTGTGACCTCTTGCCACCAAAGTGGCAATTTAGTTACCAGGAATGAAATTTTACAGACCCTGTTTCGTTTTTTTGTGTGTCAGGAGCAAATTGAGAAACTGCGAGGTGCTTTTGGTGTGAGATAATTGGCTGTCTGCGGGAGTGCCCAGATGTTTTGATGCTTTATCATCCTTGTGGGAGGCTTCTCTCATGTTCCCACTTGGGGAGCTGGAGCTGACAGAACGAGCTCATCTGTGCTCTCCCCAGATTGGAACCTCCAACCTGTCGGTCTTCAGTCCTGCCGGCACAAGGGTTTAATCCTTTGCGCCACCGGGGACTCCTGGATTACCCCTTGATCTTCCTTTAATCCAGGGAGAACCTATTGCCAGTCAGAACATAATTTTGCCACAGAAAGCATCCTTCCTTTGCAGCAGATCACTCACAGGAGGCAACCACAGACTGCCATATCCAAACCAGATTTTCCAATCATTTACACTTTTTGACAGTGCTCTGGTTCCTAACCCCGTCAAATGAACAGGGGGTATCTGCACACATTTTCAAAAACGTCCTTCTCCACTTCCCTTCTAAAGTAATATAATCCCAATGTATTGCGTTAATCTTCCTGATCCATAAAAGCTTAGCTTCTAGTCCCTTTGACTTTCCAGAGTTGAAGTTACTAGCAGTGGTACAGGTTTCTAGCCACAATAGTCCATGCTCTGGTTAAATCACGAATAGATTACTGCAACGCACTCTACGTAGGGTTGCCTCTGAAGACTGTTCAGAAGCTTCAACTAGTCGAAAACTCCACAGCCAGGTTGCTCACAGGAGCGGGATATCGAGAGCACACAACGCCCTTGCTACACCAGCTCCACTGGCTGCCAATTAGCTTCCAAGCATAATTCAAAATGCTGACATTGGCCTATAAAGCCCTTAATGGTTCTGGCACAGTTTACCTGTCCAAACGTATCTCCTGCTACGAACCACCTAGGACCTTAAGATCATCCAAGGAGGCCCTGCTCGCTGTCCCACCACCATCGCAATAGTGGCTGGTGGGGACAAGAGACAGGGCCTTCTCTGTGGTGACCCCCCGGCTAGGGAATTCCCTCCCAAGTGAAATCAGATCCGTTCCTTTCCTCCTGACCTTCCAAAAAAAAAAGGTGAAATCCTGGCTGTGGGATCAGACCTTTGCGGACTAGATCTACATGATGGTAGAGCTATGGGTTAATGGACTCTGGTGGACTCAAATGGACTGTGTGTAGGATGACGCTTTAATTCTGGCTTTTTTTCTAATGTTTTACTTGTTATGATGTTTTTAGAACGTTTTATACTGTTTTTACCTAAGATGTATATTTATGCTTTTGTTGTCAGCCGCCTTGAGTCCCTCTGCGGAGGTCGATAATAGGACAGGATATAAATGTCCGAAATAAATAAATAAATGAACAATTCATATGTCATTTTAATTAAACATGCTATTCTTCTAACCTACAAACCACTATTTCACACCCCTTTCTAAAACACATTTTGATTTAGATCAGAAACCGGTTGCTTATTGGAAATGAAACATATAAGCTCAGAAATTGCCGACCTTTTTGTGTGTGTGTGTGTGTGTGTCAGGAGCGACTTGAGAAATTTCTGGTGTGATAGAATTGGCCGTCTTCAAGGACGTTGCCCATGAGACGCCCGGATGTTTTGATGTTTTACTGTTCTTATAGGAGGCTCTCTCATGTGCCTGCATGGGGAGTTGGAGCTGACAGAGAGAGCTCCCCAGATTTGAACCTCCGACCTGTCTGGCACAAGGGTTTAACCCATTACGCCACCATGGCCTCTCGCTGATTTTTATGAAAGAGCAGGATGCAATTATGCTGATTTGTAAGGCGTATCCACATAACTCTGGCTTTGACATTCTGGAATTTGCTTCTAGAAACCAGGACTCTTTCTATGAAGTTGGACAAGTGGTGGAGTAATTGAGTGTATGATTGGAATGAATTACCATACTTAGGCTACTTTGATCACTTCTTGGAATTTGGTTCTGTGGGAAGCAAGGATAGGAAGAAGATAGGAGCTGATAATATTTGAGTTAGTCAAACATTAGAAATTGAATTAATCAAAACAACACTTACTAAGGCATCCAGTGTGAGTTATTGGGACAGCGAGGACCTACTTCACACTTGAGAATGAAATCCCTTCCTAGTATTTCTTGGTCAGAGGGGGCACATCCTCCTGGCTGCCATTTGACTCTTAATTAATTATGGATTATTAGTTATATATGCAATTGTGTATCAGGAGATCCCTTATGAGTTGGCCTTAATAAACTTCAGGTACATGTGATCAGAGAAGAGGTCGGAACACAGAATAGCCAAACCTTTAAAATAAACATCAATGTCCGGGATGTTTCTTCATTTGCAATGTGTGTTTTCTGCATCTTTCTGTCATATAGTTGCTTTTTCGCACAACTTGTTAATGTGCTGGACTTCAGTTGGTTTGCAGTTTCAATACAAGAGCTTGCAGGCACGGAGCTAGATATTTCTTTCTTTGCCCTTTCAAAAATAAGCACTGACAACAAGTATCATCCTATGGTTTGTGTTACAGGTGGTGTAATTTCAAGGGCTGTACTGCTGCCACATCACAGTTTTGTGAGGTTTCAGAGAGTAGTTCTGGTAAGGACACTGAGTGATTATTATATTATTTTTTATTATGGAGGAGAATTGATATATTCATTGAGGTGTTCAGTTATTGTGTGTGTTCATTTATTATGTCAGGGATTTCTCTTTTTGAAATCATCATTGAAGTTGACTGCAAGTCTATACTCTGAACTTTTGGAGATGTCATGAAAGGAATCGGCATGGGGATATGAACTAGATCTTTGATGCATTGGTTTAGCTATTCATGAGTATGGAACAATTTTAAAATGTGAAGACCTGATATTCCTTTCTGTGAACACTTTCCTTTGACAACATTTGGGCTCAAGTGTGACTGGGTTCAAAATAAGTGCTACTGAAATTTGTAGTCTGTGGACTGTTGGTGGTCTGCAAACCCATCATTTACTGACCACAGAAAGTTTCCAGGAAATGGTGTGGATTTGACTACAAGTATAGAGCAAATATGTTACCAGTCAGTGTTGTGTTGTGGGAAAAAAATGTTGGTCTACAATAAATAGTTTGAAATGCACTGTGCTAATACATGTGTCATCAAAAGCATAAATATCAGGTTTTGCTGTAACTTCCACCAATTGTTTTGCCATTTCCTCCTGAAATCATTAATGGGAAAATGACGAATGCATGATGAACTGAAAGTGTTAATACAAGTGTATAAAATACTTAGCTTTAAAAAGATTTGAAGAACCATGGTTCATTGCAATAGTACAAGCTTTACATTTAAAAGATTCCAGGTTAAAGTTTCATCACTTCTAAAATTGTGTTGGAAAAGATTCCTATTTGAGGTTTTGAAGAGTTGTAGCTACTTATATGGGTATAATATAATATCCTTTTTTCATATCAGATTGCAAGAGCCAGAAATGCGACATAATAGAATTTTGATATCACATTAACTGTAATGTCTGTGTCTCGTGGAAATAGAGGATTTATAGTTTGGCTATGTGGTTCTGGAGGAAAGTTCTGAGAGTGCCTTGGACTGCGAGAAGATCCAACCAGTCCACACTTCAGGAAATAAAGCCCGACTGCTCATTGGAGGGAAGGATAGTAGAGGCCAAGATGAAGTACTTTGACCACATCATGAGAAGAAAGGAAAGCTTAGAGAAGACAATTATTCTGGGGGAAATGGAAGGAAAAAGGAAAAGGGGCCACCCAAGGGCAAGATGGATGGATGGCATCCTTGAAGTGACTGGATTGACCTTGAAGGAGCTGGGAGTGGTGACGGCTGACAGGGAGCTCTGGCGTGGGCTAGTCCATGAGGTCAGAAAGAGTCAGAAATGACTGAACGAATGAACAGCAAGTTTGGCTATGGATATAGAGTTTTGTATCGGAAAGGTCTAGTGTAGTGCACTCAACCAAATCATAGTAGAGAGTTCTTAGTACCTCACCAAACTTTTAACCTCAGGATTTCCTCATCGTTGCAATGGAACTGCTATAAAAGACTATTTTCCAACACTCAGAAGATAGTTACTCCATATTTTTGTGCAAAGGAAATATTGGTTAATGAGAGGGGGTTTTTTCCCATCCCTGCTTGGTTAGAGCGATATGCTACTTGGTACTGTTGGCAAGGGGATAGGTGTCATTCTTGCCCAAACTGTGGACTTGGTAGACTGCTAAAGACATCTTCTTGGCCACTTTGAGAGATATGATACCGTGAAATAAATAAATATTTGTTTATAATTGGTTTGATCCATCAAGGTGTCCTAATTTTTTCTACTGCATGTGTTAAGGAGTCAGTTCACTTGATAGCTTTATAATCATGAAACTCTTTAGAAGCCAACAACAAACAGAATTGCTCATATCTGAGTCTGAGATCTATGAGAAGCTGGAGAAGAAGTCCTGTTTTATCTTCTTTCCTCAATCTGTAATCTTTTTCCCAGCTCCCAGGCTACCTGAAAGGAGCTATTAAGTGAATAGGATTACATCACTTTTAAAAGAGCTGCTCTATTGTAGTTGGTATGGTGAAGCAAGAGCCATTTCTTGTGTGGGAGCACAATTGTGTGCTGATCCTTTCAGCAATAGATAAGGGAAAAAACCTGTTTACTTTGTACCTTCCAAAGATTTTAATGTAACTGAATTAGGGCCTTATACCAGGAAATGACATTTCTGAACGACATCAATTTCACATTGCTGTGAGGTTTTTTCCCCCCTTTCTTTTTGTGGGAAAAGTATGGAATTTTTTAAAATGTCAGAGGCCATGTGAATGATTACTTGTAGAGCTGAACAATACCATAGATCTGTGGTTTTAATGCTTTCCATTCCTTTTCTACATTAGGTCTTTTTGAATTTCCCCACAAACCCTCAAATATGGGCCACAGCTTTGAAATGACTCTTGTTCAGTAACACACTGGATATTATTTTTCAAATGTTGGGATCCCTTTATAGCCTGGAAGTAAGTTTATACGGCATTTTAATACTTGGTGTAACTTTCTCACCCACCCATAGGGACAATTTTGGATTTTGGAGTATTTTGGATATTGGAATTCCAGATAAGGGATGCTCAATCCTTACCCCAATATGGAATGTGTTTTCAGGTCAAGATGGTGGGTTGAACAAACTATAACTTTTGTAATGATATTAATAAGGAAAAGACAAAGCATCTGTATTTCTATATTTATCATTTCTAGAAACCTCACTAGTATGTCTGAAGAGAACTTAAGCTTACCTTGTGGCGGACACCAGCTATATTTGAAAAGTTCTCTAATATCATCTGGCCGCCGTGGATGTAAAGAAGCTTTAAGACTCCACTAAAAGAGGTAGTTAGAGCAATTATCTCATCCAAAAGGACCCACACTGGAAGTCACTTGAGGGACCATTTGGAGACATTCTCCCTGCAGCTTATAACGTTTCTGCTGGTCTGTGGGCATAAAATAGTTCTGTTGTTGTCATGAGTGCTTAAGAGAAATATTCTCTGCTTTTTTAGTGACATATTAGTCTGACTTCTAATGCTGCTTTAGTTCTTTTACTCTTAGGAAAAATCAGAAGGGTTTTACCCCCAGGTAGCCATGGATTGGGAATTGCCAAAGAAAATTTCCAGCAGTCTCTAGAGCAGCAGCTCCAAACTTTTTGGTCATGACTTTTTCCCCCCGTGGGACCCTTATTCTGTCTCTGATTTTCCCACATAACCTTAATTTTGCCCCTAAGCAATGTGAACCCACAAATTTCTTCCTTCTTTCATCTACTATTGCATGGGCTTTTTGTATAATGTAGGTCTGAAAATAAAGAGATTCGGATTTCATTTTTAAAGCAGAAGTGCATTGTATTTCAGTAAGATCTGACTTTTTTGTAAGTTTTTTTTAAAAAAATAAAGATTTTTTAAAAAAATAACATTTTTTTTCCCTATGAGAACCCTATGGTTCTGTGGAACTCAATTTGGTTGCTGCTACTCCACAGTCATTGGATACCAAGCAGGAAACAATACCTTCCAAACAATTCTCTTTCCTATAAGATATTTTAGGACATCTGTTGAGACAAATTCCATTTTGGTTTTTGGAATGTGTGTGTTTTGCAGATCACCTAGATCAGTGGTATGGTTTTTACAGAAAAAAATAAATAGAAGTGGAATATTTTCTTGGAAATATATTGTTTTTCTTCCAATGCTCCAAATAATATTATCTGATTTAGCATAATTAGTTGATATGTTATAGTCAAACATATTCAAAAAATATTTTATTGGAATATTTTTGAAGATAATTGTACAGTGACACTCCTACAGCCATTTTAGGAATTTGCTAGGTCCTACAGGGTGATTCTATGATACGCTAGGACCGAAAGTCAGGTTATTGATTGGTGTTCCTTGGATAATGTCTCTGTTAGATCTGTGTTTTCTAGATACGGTTGTCTTTAGAAGCAACCAGACTAAAATAGAACATCTTTCCTATTGCCCATTTTCATCTGCTCCTCTTGAAAACATCTGCACCAGATGAAGGCATTTTTCTCCTGAGTTTTTGTACAGGATTCTCCTTCAGAGTTAGAACACATAGCTCTCCATATGTTGCTGAAACTCTCAATGTTCTTCTCCTGTGTTTGTGTTGGTTAGGGCAGCGTGGACTTATATCCATTCAGCATTTGTCGATTGTGCATAATTCCTATTCTTACTCTGGTTTTTCAGTGTGTATGCATGTGTATGTGTAAACAAGTTCTTCTATTTCTGAATCTGTTCCAGCTTTCCTTTATACATATTCTTATGTGGCATTCATCTTAAAGAGTTCTGATTGTTGGCCATCTTGGAAGCTCCTGTTGAAAGATGGGATGAAAATCTTTGTACAAAAATAAAAACAAATACTTGTTTGCAAAAATAGAGTTGCAGACCTCAGTACCTTTGGCCAGCTCCCCATCTGAACCTTTCTGTGTTTTGTGAGCACTATTTCCAAGAGTGTTTTCCCCCTCTAAGTATTTTATAGTTTTGCAATCACCTCCTTAAACATTTGCAAAATGTTTTCAATTTTTCTATCTGTAGGGTGGTAGTTTGATTGCATAAAGATCCATACTTAATGAATGAATTGCTGTTATAAATAAAAATCACAGTAGGGTAAATTGTCCTGTAAAAAAAAATTGTTGAAGAAGGTTTGCTTCCAACAGAGACACATTATGACACATTTTATTGAACATATTATGCACACCCATTCTGAGAAATGCTCGTTGTCTTGGAAAGTTTTGCGTGCCAGTCAGACATTCAAGAGCAGTTATAGCCAATGCTACATTAATAACACTGATGTGGGAGGAATTTTCTTCCATACGTACCCTGTGGGCATCAGAGCTGACAGCTATTAACACAATAATGAATTTTTTTTAATATTGCATTTTCTGATTGGAACATCTATATGTATTATCAAAGTAACAATGGCCCCTTCCACACAGCTGAATGAAATCCCACATTTTCTGCTTTGAATTGGAATCTATGGCAATGTGAACTTAGATAACCCAGTTCAAAGCATATATTGTGAGAGTTTTCTGCCTCAATATTCTGAGTTATATGACTGTGTAGAGACCTACTTTAAGCTCCC